CCCCAAAACCCCAAAACCCCAAAACCCCAGTACAGTTAAAATCCTTGAGCTCAAAACTCAACTTGTAGATCTCAAAATATCAGAATCCAAAAACCTCCAGCCACCACCCAGCCTCAGGCACGGCTCTGATTTGCTTACTGATGCCACTGGTATGCCTAAAGATTAACCTCTCCTTACTCCTGGTGCCATAGGTGCTGCCATCGGAGGGAAGCTCGCATCAGGAGCCACCATGTACTGATTCCTAAAGACAGATAAAGACTGAAGAGCCAGATTTAAAGCAGAGTGAGAATTAGAGTAATTTAGGAGGTAAAGGGACGTTTTGGACAATTTTAGTAATCGTGCGAGGGAAGTTTAGGCAGGGGGAAGAGAGAGCTTGGGAGATATTTGGTTGTGATATATACTGAACTCAGGACTTACCCTGGACCCAATTCTGTTCTAGCGTACTGTGGGTCACTATACAGTGCGACAGGCTGGTTGGGCAAAAGGGATGGTTGAACGTAGACTGGAGCTGGAGGAACTGGAGAGTCTGAAATGAGACAAGAGGATCGTACAAAGAGGTTTGGAGGTGTCAACAATGGAAAATTGCATCGGGGTGATTGGAGGAGGTTGTTCGATGACTGGTACTGGAATTGAATTTGGGAGCGTGGGTTCACGAGGTTGGTTTCTTCTGCGTGCACGAAGTGCACGGAGTCTAAGGAGCCTACGACGTTGGTTTATTTTCTTATATGTTTTGCGGCTTGTCAAAATACACATGATACAAAGAAATCCCCCAAAACCAATGCTTCCTATAACAACCAGAATTAAAATAATTCCAGAAATCTTAATCCTATAAATAATATTCATAATTTACGAATTTTCAAAAGAAGCAAGTCTGATAGTTGCATTATTCGACACCGCTGAGGGTACGAACACAATGTAAACATTATTGTCTTCATTCATAGTAAAATTCCTGACATTTCCTTCTACCATTCTGTTACTATAAGTGTATTCACCTTCGCCCTCCTTCCCTGTCAGCACTGTAATAGAGCCACTGTTCAATTCGCCTAGAGAAAGAAGAATTTTAAGAGGTTTTAGTAGGGGAAGATGGTGGTAATAGCAGGGGATTAGAAGGGGGTGGTGAGGTAGTAGGAGTGGTAGAGAGGTTATTTATGGAGAGGTTGTGTGCATGGCTTGGTGGGTTATGATATATTATAAGATTTTTGGCAGATTAATTGTTAATAAGTAGTGAAAATCTGATAATGACACTTTTCATCGATTTTGACACTTTTCATCGATTTTGACACTTATGAATTTCTGATAAATCAATTTGTTTACTAAGTTTGAAATAAGGAAGTAAATTTTTGATGTAACAAGAGCAAGTTAGTGAGAGAGTAAACAAAAGGATTTCTTTTGCACTTACTGATAGAAATTAGTACTTTCCCTATATTACTCATCGTTGTGTGTAATCGATAAGTGCACAATGAGTTACTGGGCACGTCTGAGACTTGGATAGGGGTTGCAATACCAACTTGTCCAAAATTTCTGGCTCTAGTCCCACAGTAGGCTGAGTCAACAGGACAGAGCATTAGGCCTGCATTATCTCCAGAAATATTGCTTGAGTTTGATCAAACATAGCTACTTCCTGAGCAATAGCCTGTGGAGTCGCCTGAACTGCATCATTGGCCTACTTCTGGCTCATTTTCTAAGTTAGTTCACCAATTCAAAGAGGCATTATCAACTCAAGTTCTTCAATCAGAAGAGCTTGAAGAACTCAAGTCTCTGTTGACCCCAGATAACATCGCAAAACAGATGTGAGGGAGTCACATTAATATAACAAATTTTGTGTATAACATTCTTTGTTTGATTAAATTTAATTCAAACCAATTTTAAATATCTATACAGGGGTTTTGGGGTTTTGGGGTTTTGGGG